TTTGCTCTGCTGGAGCGCGGTCAACCTTGCTGTGCTGGAACGCGGTCGACCGTGCTGTGCTGGCAGTCGACCTGCTTGCATGCTAGCTCCTGATGTAGTCAGTGTTGCTTTGCCATTGTCAACCATTGTTGTAAACTTTTGCCAGTGAAACTCTTGCCAACTTTCCCTGTGAATGCGCAAGTAGAGTAAGCACATGTGAACGACTAAGGAACGAACGCTACGATCACTTCTACCACGTGCCTACCCCGTAAACTAGCTCCCGTTGTATGGGTTATCTCCACAGAAACAATTTGTGCGGAAAACCTGGGGGCAAAGATCAGTTCAGGGCCGAAAAATAGCAAGGGGGGTGTCAAAATTAGGGCTGGGTTAGTCACAACCGTTCGATACATCCCCGGAGCTGCCCATTTGGCTGGGTCGATAACCCGAATCGAGATTTTGAGGAGATTGCCAAAATCTCGACGTTGTTGATTTTTGTTTTTCTCATACGATGAATATGTTTCATTGTGTATAAATTTTGGAGAGACATCACACTACATGACCTAAAAAATAAAACCTGCTCGGAAACGGATGTGACTCGGGGAGGCATCAACCCTAAATATCAGGCGGGTTCCCATGTTTAGGGTTGATCCCTCCCAAAAATGCGTCCAGGGTCTCTAGAGGTTTTAGTTTTGCTGCCCTGCCCTACCCGGTAGCGTCGTCTAGTGCTTGGTGGCGCTAACGATGTAAACATTCCTCTCAATCTGTTATGACGTGTCAGAACCTCTGACAAGTTAAATAAACTACGCGATTACGGGAACACATGTTATTAACTCCAAATTACCCGGCCCTAATTCGGACACCCCCCTGCTATCGTTCGACCCCAATTTCATATTTGCCCGAAGTCCTGGCATACGCGGAATGCCCTCTCAGCTCAACCACGTCCAGCGTGGAAATATCTTCAGATCACGTTCCTCCAAACTATCCACTCACTAACGATGTGACACCAAGGCGCGGCTCCCGCCCACCGCCTCCCTCCCGGCCCGCGCCCAGGGCTCACACTCAACTAATTTCTCCTCCACCTGCTTTGCTAGCATTGATCTCAGACACTCATTTCCAGTGTGTGGCGCGGTAGTGGTAGGGCGAACAATGATGCTTAGTGTTTTATGTTTCAACAGTTCCAGTGTGTGGCGTGTGGTCACACATCGCATGGGCTGGAATTTAGTTGCGATTCTATTTGCGCTTCAATGCTCGATTACGCGCATCGCATGGGTGAGCTGCGCAGCACACCACGCACGACGTGTAGTTGGCTCGCGCAAAATTCGCGCGATTGGTGCGCAGCGCACCGGCTCGCAACAGTGCGACTCGGGCGAGCGAAATTACGCGACAACTTCGCAGTGCACCTGCTGGACAAGCTCTTGCTGCTGACATGACGACGACAATGAGGGCAAGCTCTAGGTTGTCAAGCTAGAGAAACGGTCCCGGACGTCGGACACGATCCCCCCATAACTATATCGTTTTCTCCTCCGTATGTGATACAATGCAAAAACATCGCTCAACGTCCCCAGGGATATCCGTTAAAATAGCAGAGCAGATCCTGTTGCTAACCATTTTCGCGCGGTAAAAATTAGGAGGAAGTGGGTGTAGCACTCACGCCTCGACCCAGGGCCATTCCATTCCATCCCGAGCCCTTTCAGCTAGAAATGGCCCACGAGAATCCCAGGATCCCATTCCAGAATAACCTCTTTCGTCGAGTTTTTACTTAGTACCACCATGGAGCCACCAGCGTCGCGTCTCTTCCTCTTCCTGCTCTGTAAGTAGACTACTACTATTTGTACGAGTTCTATAACTATAGTATAAGGGCGTGTGACATTTTTTATTTGTTCTGTGGTTACCAAAGTCGTTAAAGCTCGTCAACTAGCTCGTGAAGAATTGAACAGCATCGTGTGCGTCCCGTTGCGACCGTACGACGTCGTATGCGTCGCAGAGCGACCGTACGACGTCGCCAGATTCGCAAGCGTCCGGATGTACGTTGCACGTACGTCCGGACTTTCAGCGATTTTGAAAAATGTCACACGCCCTAATATAGTAGGAGTATCATGGAGCCAGCGTCGCCAAGTTCTAGTAGTCCCACTTTTGCTGGTGACTGAGCGGCGACCAATGCTGCTCCGCTCGGCTGCCGTGCATCCATCCGATGCATGTCAACGGCCCGTGCCATCCCCCTTTTGTGCGCTGCTGCCTTCCCCGCAGGTTCGGCGTTCTTCAGTGTCACCGTGACGGCAAAAATCTTCCCGGCATTTCTTCATGACGGCAGCGTTCTAGCCGCGACGTCCGCCGCTGCTGGAAGCAGCAAGCCCTTGGCGAAAAAGCCCGAGGTTGTGAGTAAGTGCTTAAAGACCTATTTCAAAGCTGTGCCTCCGCTGCACCGGATTAGTGTACTACTAATACACCGGATGTGTTGCATTGCTGCGTTGCATGTCACTGACAAAAATTGGGGGGCCTCGTACTATGTACCTACATGTTCTCCTACATTGCGTTTACTCTATACAGCTCTGTATTTACAATGTAGGAGAACAGGTAGATACATTGTACGAGGGCCAAAAAAAATTGGGATGCATGTTTCTGCATGTCGCCCCATCTGTCACGGGATCAAGTCAGAGAGTCGGATTTCAAGTTCCCTCAGGGGATCTCAAGTTCCCTCAGGAGATCTCAAGTCCCCTCAGGGGATCTCAAGTTCCCTCAGGAGATCCAAAGTGCTCAAGAGGCCGTCAGGGCGTCTCATGCTGTGCTATTGGCTGTTGTACGACCTTCTGACCTGCTGTCCTTCCACGTCCTCCCTCCCCATGCCATGATATCCATGCCTTTCACATAGCCAGTGAAGTATGTGTGGAAACTACGTCCTACTAAGATCAACGAAAAAGTGGTCGGCGACAAAAATGCGTGGGGAAAATGGGTCATCAAGGTCTTGAAGTGAGTCCGTGCATTTTTTCACCTGCTGCTTCTTATCCACCCGTTTTTGCATTCTTCAGCAACCCTCACCTCTCTCTCCTTCTCACGACCAGCTCCCACCATGCCCTGTTGACAGGTATCCAGAAACTGCATACTATGAACAATCTTTTATCAAAATCATGAACCTCAAATCTGGTGGAGCGACTCCTGCCACAGCCACCAGCACTTCCCACACTCCTGCCTCTCCACTTGTCACAACAAAGTGGCAAAACATCACCAGTCCCAAGAGCAAGCGCAAGCGCTACAGTTTCAAGTACCTCTACAAAACTGAACCGGCGACTCTGGCTGATTTCAGAACTAGTATAGAGCAGTCATTGGCCACTGGCTCTTACTATTCCGTTCATCATAGTCACAACTCGCATCCTGCACTTTGTGGGAATGTGAAGAAAGTGAAGTAGTGGTGATTGGCTCACCTTCGTTTTAGTTGGCTGCTTTGCATGGCTCACCTCCGCTGCTTCTGCTTGGCTCACCTCCGCTGCTTCTGTTTGGCTCACCTCCGTTGCTTCTGTTTGGCTAACCCTGGTTATGGTTCTTTTGGTTGGTTCTGGGGATGAAAGTAGTGCTTAGAAAGAGGTGGATCTGCGCGATTGTAGCAAGCCTTTTTAATGAAAATCTCCGCATCAGCACCAGTTCTGCTCCTAGTGGGTTTTATTCAAGAGCTAGGTGACCTATAACTCAGATATTTTCCCAAGCCTCTGCATCAGGCAGGGTCCCAGCGTTTTCCTCAAAACCATTGCAAGTTTTTAGTTGAAATAATGTTTGCTCAAAACCTTATTTATATATTATTTGCCTAAACATTACGGTAGTTGAACCCTACCTCGCTAACTCATCTCGTACATCTTGTACTCGATGTGCATCACCACCGAAGCAGGCACGGAGTGTAGCAAGCTACAAGCAACGTCCTCTATTAGCGCAACCAAGGAAATCTCCCACCTTATCTTTATGGCTGGAGTTACTAGGTGGCTCCCACAACTAATCCGATCTTCCTAGAGACGTATTTTTTTACACTGTTGTTCCGGCTCTTGACCGTGGTGAGTGAACGTTTCTCTGGTTGCCGCCACGCTCAAATTTCGGCTTAATCTGTTACGATTGTAGAAACCGTAGAGATTCGTTTTGATCTCATTCCAAGGTTCTTTGAAATTTATGTTTTCTTCCTAGTCAAATTGCGCGTTCAGACAACGATTCGGAGTTTTTAAGCCTGACCGAATTGACAAATTCTTCCGTTAGTCTCATTTCTTTGAGAAGCTTATTCACTTCTACTCTGTACATCGCCTCCATGCAGTGATAGTAGCGGAGAGCTTTGTTCAACTGTTGTACTCGATATAAGCATGGCAGAGGAGGATCCACCGGTCAAAGAGCACGAGGAGGAGGAAGACGACGACGACGACGAAGAGAAGAGCGACGGTGGCGACAGTTCCAGCTCGAGCTCTGATAGGTCTGACGACAAGGACGACGACGACGACGATCGCGATCCCGATCGCGAGCGCGAGCACAGCGGCGGCGGCGGCGGCGGGGGCGGGGGCGGCGACGAGGAAGCGGAGATGAAGGAGGCGCGAAGCGACAGCGACAAGGACGACGACGACGATGACGACGACGACGAGAAGAAGGCGATCGACAGCTCGAGCGACAGCGACAGCGATAGCGACAGCGAATCGGATCGCGATTCGAGCAAAGACGATAGCGACGGAGCGGGGAGGGAGGAGGCGGGAGACGAGGCGATAGGGTCCGTTAATCCGGATGAGACGGAGAAAGAGAAAGAGGGGAATGCTCCAAACGGGACGGGCGGGTCGCACGGCGACGGGGAGGGGAATGGGAAGAGCGAGGAGGGTGTGAGTATGGATGTGGGAGGAGAGGAGAAGGACGATGCGCGGAAGGAGGAGGAGAGAGGGAGCGACGGCGGAGGAGTGGGGATGGGGAAGGAGGAAGAGTTGAAAGCAGGCGTTGCTGCCGCTGATGCTGGTGCCGCTGGTGGCGCTGCTGCTGCTGCGGATGATTCAAGTGCTCCGGTTGACGCTATGGAGGAAGAGGCTGGGCATGCGGGGGAGGTGAGGGCGCAAGCGGACGTGGACAAGGCGGAAGACTCGCGGGGGGAGGGGGAGGAAACGCGGGAGCGCGGGGGGCCGGCCACAGGGCTGGGCGCAGAGGCGGAGGGCTCGGCGCACAGCCCGCAGGGGGGTGGCGCGGACGGGGAGGGGAAGGACAGGCGGAGGGGGAAGGAAGGCGGGAAAGAGTCCGCGGAGGGGGATCAGGGCGCGGAGGAAGAGGGAAAAGACCCGGGGATGGAGCTAGAGATGAAGGCGGAGGAGGATACGCTGGCGGAAGAGGCGGAGCAGGCAGCGGCGGAGGCGGAAGCGGAGGCGGAGGCGGAAGCCGCCGTGGCGGCAGCAGCCGCGGAAGCAGCGGAGGCGGATGAGAAGATGGGGGAGGGCGGGGAGAAGGGCGGAGGCGGCGGGGGAGGCGGAGGCGGAGTGGGAGGGGGAGGGGGAGGCGGGGGGATGGATGAGCCATCGCAGAGGCCTCCGCATGGGTCGGAGGTGTTTGTGGGGGGGATTACGAGAGATATCTCAGAGGAGGATATTCGGGAGCTCTTCTCACAGATAGGCGACATTTATGAGGTGAGTGGCTGTGGGCGGGCTTGGGCGGGGAAGGGGAAAGGGGGCCTTTTGAGTTGACTGAAATGAATATCTCAGAGGAGGATATTCGGGAGCTCTTCTCACAGATAGGCGACATTTACGAGGTGAGTGGTGTGGGCGGGCGAGTGTGGGCGGGGGAGGTGGCAGGGTTGGGTTTGTGGGAAGAGGTTGTGTGGTTGGTTTGCAGGGATGGGTGGTTGGGGTTGGGAGGGCAAGGGGAAAACGTTAAAGTCAATCCAAGGAACTTTCTATAGAGTAGAGGAGAAAAGTTATTTTCTAGCTGAACGACGTTCATGAGTGTGTGCGTTGCGTTCAGAGGGCTGGGTGGTGTGGAACGGGGTGAAGCGGGGATGGGGGGGGGGGGAGAGGGAAGGGGAGAAAGATGAAGGGAAAGAAGCGGTTGGTTGAGGTTGGTGGGAGGGAGGGTGTCCTTGCATTCTAGCGGTCTCGTGGTCCTTGCATGTGCCTGCTTTGGCTTGTGCATTCTATGCATGATATCGTTCAAATTATGCCTGCCTGCCTGCCTGCCTGCCTGCCTGCCTGCCTGCCTGCCTGCCTGCCTGCCTGCCTGCCTGCCTGCCTGCCTGCCTGCCTGCCTGCCTGCCTACCTCTTCGGCTCTCTGTGAAGCCAAGCGCGCGTGCCTCTCTGTTCTCGGTGTGCCGATGTGCATGTGTGCCCATGTTCCCACATGCCCATGTGCATGCGTTTGATTTGGCTCACACCAGGTGCGCGTGCTCAAGGACAGGGAGACGGGCAACCTCAAGGGGTACGGCTTTGTGACGTTCTTCAACCGCCAGCATGCCGACAAAGCCATTGACACGCTCAATGGCTCCGAGATCAAGGTATGTGCGTGCCCTGCTGCGGTGTGGTGCGGTGCGGTATTGTGCAGTGTGCGTGGTGTGGTGCGGATGGGTAGGGGTGTATATGTGTGTGTGTGCGGGGGGGAGGGGGAGGTGGGACGTTCTTCAACCGCCAGCACGCCGACAAGGCCATTGACACGCTCAACGGCTCCGAGATCAAGGTGCGCGCCTGCACTGCCCTGTTGTCGTGTGGTGTGTGGTGTGGTGTGGTACGGTGGGGTGCGGTGTGGTGTGAGTTGGAGTTGCAATGAGAGGGCATGTGTAGGCGCGCGCGAGTGGATGCATGGTTGTGTGCCCAGGTATGGTATTGTGGATCGTGCACTATTCATCCGTCCTCCCCATCCTCCCCATCCTCCCCATCCTCCCCATCCTCAACCCACCTTCCCTATCCTCCCCATCCTCCTATGCTCCTTGCTTACTTTTTGCTCAGATCGTATCCCTCAGCACTGGTCATCACCATACCCTGATATAGTTCAAGCATTTCGTTCCTCCTCGCCTCACCTTCTCAAATCTTACCTAGGAATGGCGAGTCCCAATGCCTCTCTGCCCATCTCGAATCTCCGCACTCCTCACCTCTCCCCTTCTCCTCCTCTCCTCCTCTCCCCCTCTTCCTCTCTTCCCCTTCCCCCCTACATACACCCGTCTCCCCGCCTTTTCCCTCCAATGCCCCTCCCTCTCCTCGAGTGTGTGACCCCCTCGCAGTCCAAGTACTTGCCGGCAGTGGCCCCTCCCGGCTATTCGTGTTGCGTTGCCCTTTGCGTCCACTCTAAGCACCCCTTCCCCGTCCCTCTCCCCCTTCTTCCCCCACTCCCCTCTCCCCCCTCTTACCCCACTCCCCACTCTCCTCTCCCCCTCCCCTCTCCTCCCCCACTCCCCTCTCCCCCCTCTTACCCCTCTCCCCTCTCCCCACTCTCCCGCCTCCCCGCTCTCCGCCCTCTCCCCCCCATAAGGACAAGAAGGTGCGGGTGACCCCGTCCCCCTCCAAGTACCGGCTGTTCGTGGGCAACATTCCCCCTCTTCCCAAGAGCTGGTCGCACGGCCCGGCCTCTGACCTCACTCCCCTCTTCCCCCATCGCTCGCTGCTTCCTCCCCCCCCCCCCCCCCCGACTCCCCTGCTTCCCCCCATCATCAGAGCAAGAAGCTGCGAGTGACGTCTTCCCAGTCCAAGTACCGCCTGTTCGTGGGCAACATTCCCAAGAGCTGGTCACGGGACGACCTGCACGCCGTGCTCGAGACCTTTGAGTTGACTTTGAAGCCACCTGTCCCCCTCCTCTCCCCCTTCTTTCCCATCACCAGGGCAAAAAGCTGCGAGTGACGCCGTCGCAGTCCAAGTACCGCCTGTTCGTGGGCAACATTCCCAAGAGCTGGTCACGGGACGACCTGCACGCCGTGCTGGAGACCTTTGAGTTGACTTTGAAGCCACCTGTCCCCCTCCTCTCCCCCTTCTTTCCCATCACCAGGGCAAAAAGCTGCGAGTGACGCCGTCGCAGTCCAAGTACCGCCTGTTCGTGGGCAACATTCCCAAGAGCTGGTCACGGGACGACCTGCACGCCACGCTGGAGGCGGAGGGGAAAGGCATCACCAACCTCGAACTGCTCATGGTGGGTGGGTGGGTGGGTTGGAGGGTGGGCGGGTGGGCTGCTGGCAGGTCGCGGGTCCATGTGTGTGTGTCCGTGTGTGTGTGGGTGTGGCAAGGGCGAGCTTATCAATAGGCGCCGGAAAGAGCATACCGTGCTCGAGGTCGAGGGCAGGGGAACCACCTACTCTGGGGCAAGGCAGCACGTTTACGCCTCTCAAAACCCACGCCACCTTTCCCCTTCAACCCCTCCCGCCTCCCCTCTCTCTCCCGCTTCTCTCCAGGACCCCAAGCTGCCTGGGCATAATCAGGGGTACATGTTTGTTTGTGGTGTATCACAACCATGCATGTGCGGAGGTGGCACATTCAATCAACGCACAACCTTTTGAGTTGACTCAAAAGTCATTCACACCACCACCACCCCCCGGTTCCACCCCTGAGTCCTGACCCTCCGTCCTCCACTCCCGAGGGGCACCAAGCTGCCAGGGCGCAATCTTGGGTATGAATTCATGGAGTATCACAACCATGCATGTGCGGAGGTGGCATGTTAGCACCTCTCAAACCACTTTTGAGACGTCTCAACTTTTGAGGCGCCTAAAAAAATCCGCGTGAACTCAGACGACTTTTGAGACGTCTCAAAAGCCATGCATGTGCGGAGGTGGCATGTTAAGTTAACACCTCTCAAACCCCACCCGACGTCCCCCACCCCCTCCCTCCACCTCCCCTCTCTCAACTCTTCCTCCACCTTTGTCTCCCCCCTACTCGGCAGGACCCCAAGCTGCCAGGGCGCAATCGCGGGTACGCGTTCGTGGAGTATCACAACCATGCGTGTGCGGAGGTGGCGCGGCGGCACATGACGGCGCCGTCCTTCCGCCTCGCAGGCAACGTGCCCACTATCAGCTGGGCCGAACCGCGCTCCGAGCCCGACCCCTCCGCCATGGCGCAGGTGGGTGTGCTGGGGTTGGTGGAATCGGTTGGTGCTGCTGCCGGGGGCTGCCGGGGGCTGCCGGGGACTGCCGGGGGCTGCCGGGGGCTGCCGGGGGCTGCTGGGGGCTGCGGCGAGTGCAGGTAGGTGACGTGAAGGGGACCCCCGAGAAGGTGACAGAGAGAGCTCGCAGGCAATGTGCCCACCATCAGCTGGGCCGAACCGCGCTCCGAGCCCGATCCCTCCGCCATGGCTCAGGTGTGTACAGGTGATGGGGGTGTTGATGGGGCAGATGGGGTTGATGGGGTTGATGGGGCTGATGGGGTTGATGGGGTTGATGGGGTTGATGGGGTTGATGGGGCAGATGGGGGGGTGGGGGTGATGGAGGCGTTTCAATCTGGGATCTGGATGGATGCCTTTCTCTCTCCTCACACCCTCGCCCCTCCCTGCTCCTCACGCCCTCGGCCCTTGCCTCTGGCCCTCCAGGTGAAGGTGATATACGTGAAGGGCATATCGGAGAAGGTCACAGAGGACGATCTGAAGGAGGCGTTTCAGCGCTTTGGCGAGGTCACACGGGTCATCCTGCCGCCCCCGCGCCCGGGGCAGCCAAAGCGCGACTTTGGGTTTGTGCACTTTGGAGAGCGGGCGGACGCACTCAAGGCGATTGAGACGCAGGAGAAGGTGCTGGTGGATGGTGAGTGGTGCTGGTGGGTGATGAGTGGTGCTGGTGGGTGATGAGTGGTGCTGGTGGATGGTGAGTGTCAATGAGAGTGTCACACTATCAGGGAAGAGGAAGGGATACTGTGTTGTTACGGAGTTCCTGAGCCAGAATCTAAGAGTGTCACACTATCCGTTCTAAGCCAAGCACTTCCCCGTTCTAAACCAGCACACACCACCCTGTGGCAGCACACACCACCCTGTGGCAACACACACCACCCTGTGGCAACACATACTGTGTTGTTACGGAGTTCCTGAACCAGAATCCCCTATCCGTTCTAAGCCAAGCACTTTCCCCTCCTTGCATCACCCTCTCTCCGCCGCCCCCCACGTCCAACCCAACCCACCCCACCAGGCAAGGAGGTCGAAGTATCCCTAGCCAAGCCCCCCCCAGAGCGCCCTGGCCCAACCCATCCCTCTCTCCTTCACCCTCTCTCCGCTTCCGTTCCCCTTCTCTCCCCCTCCCCCCACCCCTCCATACAACAACCCACCAGGCAAGGAGGTCGAAGTATCTCTAGCCAAGCCCCCCCCAGAGCGCCGCCCAGGCCCTGGGGAACCCCCCTACCCGCCCCGCTCCGCGCCAGGTGGGGGAGGGGGCAACGGGGGCAGCGGTCCGGGAGGCGGCAGCAACACAGGGGGCGCTTCAGGCCTGCATCCCCAATACCGCTCCGGATATGGCTATGGGGATATAGGAGGGGGCGAAGGGAGGGCGTATGGGGGAGGTGGCGGGGGGTATGGGGGGAGGGAGAGGGGCGGGGAGGGGGCGTATGGGGCTTATTCGAGGAGCTTGGGGGAGAGGGGCGGGGGCGGGGGAGGTGGCGGGGGAGGGGGCGGGGGAGGGGGGTTTGGGTCGCAGGTGCCGTTTATATACGGGAGGGGGCCGGCGCCAGCTGGCATGGTGATGGTGCCGATGATGCTGCCCGATGGACGGCTGGGATACATCCTGTGAGTGCTGTTGTCTGTTGCCTGGGGTGGTTTGAGGGTTTTGCTCAGTGCTCCCCGCTGTGGTGGGTGGGTGGTTGCATGCTTGGGTGTTCGTGCGTGTGTGTATGTATGTATGTATGTATGTATGTATGTATGTATGTATGTATGTATGTATGTATGTATGTATGTATGTATGTATGTATGTATGTATGTATGTATGTATGTATGTATGTATGTATGTATGTATGTATGTATGTATGTATGTATGTATGTATGTATGTATGTATGTATGTATGTATGTTTGTATGTATGTATGTATGTATGTATGTATGTATGTATGTATGTATGTATGTATGTATGTATGTATGTATGTATGTATGTATGTATGTATGTATGTATGTATGTATGTATGTATGTATGTATGTATGTATGTATGTATGTATGTATGTATGTATGTATGTATGTGCATGCACGTGCATATCTCTGCTGATTTTTTTGTTTGCGCTTCGTCCCGCTGTGTGCTCCCCTCCCCTGTGCAGGCAAAGAGAGGGGGAGGGTGGGGGAGGGGGGTACGGTGGCCGATATGCTGCCGGAGGAGGGGCATACCGAGGTGGGGGGGGAGGGGGAGGGGGAGGGTACTCAAGGTCGGGAGGCGGAGGTGCGGGTTACGGGAGTGTTGGGGGGGCTAGTGCCGGTAACTCGCAAGCACGCCGATACCGACCTTATTGATTGTCTTACGAGGCTCACAGAGTTTGGGGAGGTGGGGGAGGTGGAGGAGGTGGAGGAGGAGGGTACCGTACTCAAGGTCGGGAGGCGGAGGTGCGGATTGGGGGTGCTAGTGCCTGAAAATCGCAGGCACGCCGTTACAGACCCTATTGATTGTCTTGGGCTTTCGATTCGTAGTGGGAAGCCCTGGGAATGGGGTGGTTTGTATTGAGATGTGTTGGGGGGGATTCTGATGGCTAGATTGAATAAGTTGGTTGAAATGCAGATTGAGAAAGCTTGCTTTCTGTTTCTTGCAAGGCAACGTGCTTCATTTCAATTGGGTAATTACAACATTCTCGTCCAACTAAAACAATATATAGAGATCATTTAGGGGTGGGTGGGGGGGAAGCGGAACTGTAAAGTTCCGAAATGAAGACGTGGGTGGAGGCCAAATGGCCTCCAACCATCGTTATGTACTCGGAGATATGCATTTGCAGTTGCCTTGCTTCACTACAGTCAGCTGCGCTTTCAAAATAATTATTTTTAGAAAGTGTTTCACACTTTCAAAAAATTTCATATTGAGAAAGCTTGCTTTCTGTTTCTTGCAAGGCAACGTGCTTCATTTCAATTGGGTCTTCTGAGACATGTGCGTCCGCGGAAGAAGTGTGGATGGCGGAGCCAGTTGATAGCGATGTCCAGTGAGATTGACTGTCGGTGATGGTCGTTGCGCTCCCCGTCGACGAGGGTATGCGAGTTGCTCCTTCGTTGAGGTAGATGCCCTTAGTTCCTGACACTCTTAACCCGTCGGTTGCTCATCTCTTGGCCTATCGGTTGCGCATCGCTTGGCCCGTCGGTTGCTCATCTTTTGGTTCGGCGGTTGCTCATCCCTAGGCCGGTTGATTGCTCATCCCTTGGCCTGTCAGTTGCTTATTGCTTGGCCAGTCGATTGCTCATTGCTTGGAAGGTCGGTTGCTCATCTCTTGGCCCATCGGTTGCTCGTATCTTGGCCCTTTGGTTGCTCATCTCTAACCGATACCGTATTATAACGGCCAGTCAAGAAAAAACAACAAGATTTGCCTTGGCTGCCCTGCCACACCATGTTACGGCAGTCCCGTAGCTCCATTCAACACAAATATTGTTGAAGCGCGAACAATCACCAGTAATGGAATGCAAAGTACATTGAAATTCGGTGGTAAATGTTGATACTTTCCCATACGGTATCCTGTCCATTGTGACGGAACAAGGTAGGAGTCAATAATGGTTGAAATACACTCCCTCCCCTCCTCTCGCATTTGGGTATGTCCAGTATGGGTGGGGGAGTGATACAACCAGATCCAATACCGTACCCGTCCTTGCTACCAGTAGAGTCTTCTACCAATCTTACCACAGTCAGTCAAGTCACTATATGTGGCTCCAACATCCTGTTGAGTCAAGAAAAGTTCCACGTTTTTTTTTTTTTTTTTTTTTTTTTCACTAAATTCATATCGTAAACAAATAGCCAATGGTACATACATATCAACAAACATATTACATAGTTAGGGTTTTCCACATCTCAGCTTTAGTACGCACATCCCCCCTTCCTAAGAAGGTGCCTTCTCTGGCCATCGTACTTTTGTAGGTACCTACACCCGAATCTTGGACCCCTTTGCCCCATGAGGAACGGCTCTCAGGCCAACCTCGCGACCCTCGGTCCCCTTCCCCCCCCTGGGAGCGGCTCTCAGGCCAACTTGGGGACCCTCGGTCCCCTTCCCCCCCTGGGGGCAGCTCTCAGGCCAACTCGGGGACCCTCGGTCCCCTTCCCCCCCTGGGGGCGGCTCTCAGGCCAACTCGGGGACCCTCGGTCCCCTTCCCCCCCTGGGGGCGGCTCTCAGGCCAACTCGGGGACCCTCGGTCCCCTTCCCCCCCTGGGGGCGGCTCTCAGGCCAACTCGGGGACCCTCGGTCCCCTTCCCCCCCCTGGGGGCGGCTCTCAGGCCAACTCGGGGACCCTCGGTCCCCTTCCCCCCCCTGGGAGCGGCTCTCAGGCCAACTCGGGGACCCTCGGTCCCCTTCCCCCCCTGGGGGCAGCTCTCAGGCCAACTCGGGGACCCTCGGTCCCCTTCCCCCCCTGGGGGCGGCTCTCGGGCCAACTCGGGGACCCTCGGTCCCCTTCCCCCCCTGGGGGCGGCTCTCAGGCCAACTCGGGGACCCTCGGTCCCCTTCCCCCCGGCTCTCAGGCCAACTCGGGGACCCTCGGTCCCCTTCCCCCCCTGGGGGCGGCTCTCAGGCCAACTCGGGGACCCTCGGTCCCCTTCCCCCCCCTGGGGGCAGCTCTCAGGCCAACTCGGGGACCCTCGGTCCCCTTCCCCCCCTGGGGGCGGCTCTCAGGCCAACTCGGGGACCCTTGATCCCCTTCCCCCCCTGGGGGCGGCTCTCGGGCCAACTCGGGGACCCTCGGTCCCCTTCCCCCCCTGGGGGCGGCTCTCGGGCCAACTCGGGGACCCTCGGTCCCCTTCCCCCCCTGGGGGCGGCTCTCGGGCCAACTCGGGGACCCTCGGTCCCCTTCCCCCCCTGGGGGCGGCTCTCGGTCCCTTCGTTTCGATGTGCGTGCAGTTGGTCCTGTCGTCGTTGCAATTTTTCCGCGCGACTAGTAGAGTCCAACTTCAATCAGCGGCTTTCCATCTTGTGCCTGCCACAAGGGAGCATCGAGATTGATAGGCAATGAGAGAAGAAATTAGAACTGGAAAGAAGAAAAATAAAATGAAAACAACTTTGCAACAATTTATATGCAGCTAAACAATTTGTGAGGTGGCATGGGGTACTGCACTGTTGGTTGACGCCCAGTCAAACGCCTTAGGTGCGGCAGTGGCAGTTTCTTGACTGCCGCGCCACTGGCCATTTCGTCCATGGCGATTTCGCCACAGGCGCGCGCCACTGGCGCAAGTGGCGATTTCGCCACACACGCGCGCCAGTGGCGCAAGTGGCGATTTCGCCACACACGCGCGCCAGTGGCGCAAGTGGCGATTTCGCCACACACGCGCGCCAGTGGCGCAAGTGGCGATTTCGCCACACACGCGCGCCACTGGCGCAAGTGACGATTTCGTCAAAATCTTACGCCACTGGCGCACGTGGCAATTTCGTCACTGATGCGCCAGTGGCCGTTGCTTCATGCGCAGCTCATTCTCGGTTGTGCGCACGCCAAGTGCATCGCGGGCGCGATGCTGTACCCTCCGCAGTTAACGCGCGTAGCAGCTACTAAGTTATGTTGCTGCTGCAGCACTTGTTCTAGCGTTGTCCCCATACTAAAATAAGTGTGAATTAGGAATTAGTGAGAGTAGAAGTGGTTGGACGAGAATGAAGCGGAACTGTAAAGTTCCGAAATGAAGACGTGGGTGGAGGATATGCTGATATGCTGCCGGAGGAGGGGCATACCGAGGTGGGGGGGGAGGGGGAGGGGGAGGGTACTCAAGGTCGGGAGGCGGAGGTGCGGGTTACGGGAGTGTTGGGGGGGCTAGTGCCGGTAACTCGCAAGCACGCCGATACCGACCTTATTGATTGTCTTACGAGGCTCACAGAGTTTGGGGGAGGTGGAGGAGGTGGAGGAGGAGGGTACCGTACTCAAGGTCGGGAGGCGGAGGTGCGGATTGGGGGTGCTAGTGCCGGAAAATCGCAGGCACGCCGTTACAGACCCTATTGATTGTCTTGGGCTTTCGATTCGTAGTGGGAAGCCCTGGGAATGGGGTGGTTTGTATTGAGATGTGTTGGGGGGGATTCTGATGGCTAGATTGTTGAAATGCAGGTTTAGGTGGGCAGGGGAAGAAACCTGAAATTTGCTGAACGAGTTGGAATTGTTAGTGAAGGTACACATACCGGTACCTATGTTGCGTGAGTAAAACCAGTAGTCACCTGGATTTGGCCCATCGCTTGTAATGAGGATGAAGCTTTTTTTTTTTTTTTTTTTTTTTGTTGTGAAAGCTTTATACAAAGAGTTGTACAAGCAAAACACTCAGTCGTAACTGATGAAGCTCTTTTGTACACCTGGTGCTGATGCAATGATTTGTGCTGACAATACAAATCCTTCAAACTAAGGCGCATTTTATTATAGAGAACCAGTTTATGCGATGTCTTGTATCGCACCTCCTCCAAAGGAATACCACAGGACCCGCCCCTTGTCGCGTTTCCCCTGTGCCATCACACTCACCACTCGCTGACACATCCTTTTTTCAACGAAAGAGAGTGGCATTCAGTGGCATGTAACGGGCGATAACATCGAACGAGGACTCACTCCCTAATGGAGCAATTGAGCGTCGTAGCGGTTCATCCGTTCAGCGAATACCGGTGCTGCTCGCTCCGCATTACAACAAGTGCCACTAATGCCACGTGTGCTACTAGTACAACCCTCCGCCGCCACCTCAACCCCCTGGTTCCGCCCCCCTTTGCGCGCAGCTTCCGCGAGCCGTTCTCCCGCCAGCCATGCGTCCGCCAGCCATGCCAGTCAGTCTACCGCGCGCGGCGGCAAGGTCAAGCGGGGAACGCTGCGTTAGTGGGTGTGGGTGCGAGAGTGATGTTTGGGACCACAGGCGGACACGTGGCACGCCACGTGGCACGACACGTGGCTGGACACGTGGAGGAGGAGAGCGAGGGGGTACATTCGCGAGGCGGCAGGTGCGTGGAAGAAGGCACAGGGTAGTGTTGTGGGGGGGGGGGGGAGAGGGGGTGGGTGTGGCAACTGCGGCAACAAGGACTTGGCTCCACAACAAAAAATCCACAGGGCTAGTGTAAACCCGAACCTCACTCGAGCGCACTCAACCGCCCTCAACCGCATTCAACCGCCCTCACCCCGCACTCCACCCCTCTCCACCCCATTCTACCCGACACCACCCCTCCCGGCCTGCCTGCAGCGTGGAGCGTAACGACAGCAGCAGCACAGGGCCCCTGGTAAAGCCATCTCTCCAGGTGAGATGAGAGCTGGACCGAGCTCCAGCGGTCAGCCAGCCCTTGGGTCGATCTTTGAGGCATGATAATAGATTTGTTTTGAGGCATGATAATAGATTTGTTTTGTGGCATTCAAAAAGAAACATGTACATCGAGTCAACCCAGAATCACCTATCTCTCTCCTGCTCTCACTCTCTCATGCTCGCACGTACCATGCCAAGAGATGGCTCTTTCCTTCCAAGGCTCACTTGGGTTCTTGAGATGACATGACCCCTCAAGATAAGTGATTCTGGGGTTGACTCAATAATAGTTGTGCAGGAGACAGATTGGTTGGAGCTTAAAGCCCTGTGTATGTGAGATTCACAACTGTCAGCGCACCAAGCCAAGCCAAGCCAAGCTGTGCTGCTGCTGCAGTTCGCACATGGCACATTGCTCGTTCGCTCGCTCCCAACGCTTTTGAGAATTCTCAAAAGCCTCCTGTCGCTCGCTCGCGCGCTCAATCCAACGGGACCTTCATGATTCACCCTCCCCACCCCGCCTCTTCCTCCTCTCCTCTCCTTCCCTTCCCTGGTCTCGAGTCTCACTACACCAGCGGTCTGTCAGTGCGCGAAGCCCTGCTGCTGCAACTCCCAGCTCACGCTCGCTCGTGCACTCATAACGCTCCCAGTCTTTGCCTTCTTTCCCTCGATCCCCTTCTATCCTTGTTTCACTCGTCGTGCATCACCAGTTGAGTGTGCCAAGCCGTGCTGATGCAAATGGCAGCGCTCGCTCGCAAGTGACAACGGCCCCAATCCAACCTTCTCCCCCCTCCCCACCCCCCCTTTCCCCCTCCTCCGCAACCCCCCTTCTTATCCCCCCCCACGCTACCTACGTCGTGCATCATCAGCTGTCAGTGCGCCAAGCGGTGCTGCTGCAGATGACAGCGCTCGCTCATAACGACACCCCTCGCACCGACCATGGCCTTGAGGTGGGCGCATACGGTGGGGCGGCCGTGGTGGGAATGGGGCGATTGGAAGAGGGAATGGCTATGTTTGCTCTTTTTGTCTTTTCCTTTTTTTCTCTTGACTTTTTTGGGATGGGCGCACGAGTGCATAAGTGGTGGGGGAAAGGAGAACAGCGGAGCACAGGACAATCCCTCCTGGTGTCAATCTGATAATATTTCCATTTCTTTCAAATGTAGCAGACCAGATCCTCCTGGTTCCTCCGTTCCTCCGTTCCTCCGTTTCTCCGTTTCCAATGCCTTTTCCTCCTGGTTCCAGTCTCCGCCTCCCTCCATCCATTCTTGTTCTCGTTTCATCTTTCCGCTCTGTCACCCGAAAGAGTTGACGCGAAGGGAGTGATGCACCCCTGGCCCGTCCCTGTCCATTCCCTGTCCCTTGCGTGTGCCATCGTGCCATCAGGTCTTCGGCCTCTACTACTTTGCCAGCACTGAAGGGACTGGGACTCTCGCAGATTCTTGAGTCGATGAGTCGATGGGTCGAGTCAAAAGCCGCCTGATGATGCACTCCTTACCAATGCATGTGCCCCTTGCCTGTGCCCAATGCATGTGCCCCTTGCCTGTGCCCCTTGCCTGTGCCCCTTGCATGTGCCCCTTGCCTGTGCCCCTTGCCTGTGCCCCTTGCCTGTGCCCCTTGCATGTGCCCCTTGCCTGTGCCCCTTGCCTGTGCCCCTTGCCTGTGCCCCTTGCATGTGCCCCTTGCCTGTGCCCCTTGCATGTGCCCCTTGCCTGTGCCCCTTGCCTGTGCCCCTTGCCTGTGCCCCTTGCCTGTGCCCCTTGCCTGTGCCCCTTGCATGTGCCCCTTGCCTGTGCCCCTTGCCTGTGCCCCTTGCCTGTGCCCCTTGCATGTGCCCCTTGCCTGTGCCCCTTGCCTGTGCCCCTTGCCTGTGCCCCTTGCCTGTGCCCCTTGCCTGTGCCCCTTGCCTGTGCCCCTTGCATGTGCCCCTTGCCTGTGCCCCTTGCCTGTGCCCCTTGCCTGTGCCCCTTGCCTGTGCCCCTTGCCTGTGCCCCTTGCCTGTGCCCCTTGCCTGTGCCCCTTGCCTGTGCCCCTTGCCTGTGCCCCTTGCCTGTGCCCCTTGCCTGTGCCCCTTGCCTGTGCCCCTTGCCTGTGCCCCTTGCCTGTGCCCCTTGCCTGTGCCCCTTGCCTGTGCCCCTTGCCTGTGCCCCTTGCCTGTGCCCCTTGCATGTGCCCCTTGCCTGTGCCCCTTGCCTGTGCCCCTTGCCTGTGCCCCTTGCCTGTGCCCCTTGCCTGTGCCCCTTGCATGTGCCCCTTGCCTGTGCCCCTTGCATGTGCCCCTTGCCTGTGCCCCTTGCCTGTGCCCCTTGCCTGTGCCCCTTGCCTGTGCCCCTTGCCTGTGCCCCTTGCCTGTGCCCCTTGCCTGTGCCCCTTGCCTGTGCCCCTTGCCTGTGCCCCTTGCCTGTGCCCCTTGCCTGTGCCCCTTGCCTGTGCCCCTTGCCTGTGCCCCTTGCATGTGCCCCTTGCCTGTGCCCCTTGCCTGTGCCCTTGCCTGTGCCTGTGCCCCTTGCCTGTGCCCCTTGCATGTGCCCCTTGCCTGTGCCCCTTGCCTGTGCCCCTTGCCTGTGCCCCTTGCATGTGCCCCTTGCCTGTGCCCCTTGCCTGTGCCCCTTGCCTGTGCCCCTTGCCTGTGCCCCTTGCCTGTGCCCCTTGCCTGTGCCCCTTGCCTGTGCCCCTTGCATGTGCCCCTTGCCTGTGCCCCTTGCCTGTGCCCCTTGCCTGTGCCCCTTGCCTGTGCCCCTTGCATGTGCCCCTTGCCTGTGCCCCTTCCGTGTGCCATCAGGTGCTTTATTACTTTGCCAATGCTGAAGGGACTCTCGCAGCTTCGTGAGTCGATGAGTCGACTCAAAAGTCAAGTCACCGTATGGTGCACTCCTTGCCTTTCCGTGTGCCATCAGGTGCTTTACTACTTTGCCAATGCTGAAGGGACTCTTGCAGACCCTGCTGTCGCCCCCTCTGCTGCTGCTTCGCTCCTCTCCCCCCTGCCGTGCTACTTTGGTTTTGCGGCAGACCTGTACCACTTTGGCCACTTCGCACTCAAGTTTAAAACAAGGTCAGATGCTGCTGCTGCTGCTGCTGCTTCTGCTGCTCTTTCTGCTCCTCCTTTCCCTCTGCTGCTGCTGCTCCTCCTCCCCACTCACCCCTTGTGTGCTGCTTCAGATTCTGTCCCCGTTCCGCCCGCTCTTCCTGCCTCAACCACACACTGGTTCGAATCTCTACTGTCCTGATGATGTAGGGTGTTTTTAAGAGTTCTCAAAAACACCCTACAACCACACACTGGTTCGAATCTCTACTGTCCTGATGATGTAGGGTGTTTTTAAGAATTCTCAATAACACCCTACAACCACACACTGGTTCGAATCTCTACTGTCCTGATGATGTAGGGTGTTTTTAAGAATTCTCAATAACACCCTACAACCACACACTGGTTCGAAACTCTACTGTCCTGATGATGTAGGGTGTTTTTAAGAATTCTCAATAACACCCTACAACCACACACTGGTTCGAATCTCTACTGTCCTGTTGATGTAGGGTGTTTTTAAGAATTCTCAATAACACCCTACAACCACACACTGGTTCGAATCTCTACTGTCCTGATGATGTAGGGTGTTTTTAAGAATTCTCAAAAACACCCTACAACCACACACTGGTTGGAATCTCTACTGTCCTGATGATGTAGGGTGTTTTTAAGAATTCTCAAAAACACCCTACAACCACACACTGGTTCGAATCTCTACTGTCCTGATGATGTAGGGTGTTTTTAAGAATTCTCAATAACACCCTACAACCACACACTGGTTCGAATCTCTACTGTCCTGATGATGTAGGGTGTTTTTAAGAATTCTCAAAAACACCCTACAACCACACACTGGTTCGAATCTCTACTGTCCTGATGATGTAGGGTGTTTTTAAGAATTCTCAAAAACACCCTACAACCACACACTGGTTCGAATCTCTACTGTCCTGATGATGTAGGGTGTTTTTAAGAATTCTCAAAAACACCCTACAACCACACACTGGTTGGAATCTCTACTGTCCTGATGATGTAGGGTGTTTTTAAGAATTCTCAAAAACACCCTACAACCACACACTGGTTCGAATCTCTACTGTCCTGATGATGTAGGGTGTTTTTAAGAGTTCTCAAAAACACCCTACAACCACACACTGGTTCGAATCTCTACTGTCCTGATGATGTAGGGTGTTTTTAAGAATTCTCAAAAACACCCTACAACCACACACTGGTTCGAATCTCTACTGTCCTGATGATGTAGGGTGTTTTTAAGAATTCTCAAAAACACCCTACAACCACACACTGGTTCGAATCTCTACTGTCCTGATGATGTAGGGTGTTTTTAAGAATTCTCAATAACACCCTACAACCACACACTGGTTCGAATCTCTACTGTCCTGATGATGTAGGGTGTTTTTAAGAATTCTCAATAACACCCTACAACCACACACTGGTTCGAATCTCTACTGTCCTGATGATGTAGGGTGTTTTTAAGAATTCTCAATAACACCCTACAACCACACACTGGTTCGAATCTCTACTGTCCTGATGATGTAGGGTGTTTTTAAGAATTCTCAAAAACACCCTACAACCACACACTGGTTCGAATCTCTACTGTCCTGATGATGTAGGGTGTTTTTAAGAATTCTCAATAACACCCTACAACCACACACTGGTTCGAATCTCTACTGTCCTGATGATGTAGGGTGTTTTTAAGAATTCTCAATAACACCCTACAACCACACACTGGTTCGAATCTCTACTGTCCTGATGATGTAGGGTGTTTTTAAGAATTCTCAAAAACACCCTACAACCACACACTGGTTCGAATCTCTACTGTCCTGATGATGTAGGGTGTTTTTAAGAATTCTCAAAAACACCCTACAACCACACACTGGTTGGAATCTCTACTGTCCTGATGATGTAGGGTGTTTTTAAGAATTCTCAATAACACCCTACAACCACACACTGGTTCGAAACTCTACTGTCCTGATGATGTAGGGTGTTTTTAAGAATTCTCAATAACACCCTACAACCACACACTGGTTCGAATCTCTACTGTCCTGATGATGTAGGGTGTTTTTAAGAATTCTCAATAACACCCTACAACCACACACTGGTTCGAATCTCTACTGTCCTGATGATGTAGGGTGTTTTTAAGAATTCTCAAAAACACCCTACAACCACACACTGGTTCGAATCTCTACTGTCCTGATGATGTAGGGTGTTTTTAAGAATTCTCAATAACACCCTACAACCACACACTGGTTCGAATCTCTACTGTCCTGATGATGTAGGGTGTTTTTAAGAATTCTCAATAACACCCTACAACCACACACTGGTTCGAATCTCTACTGTCCTGATGATGTAGGGTGTTTTTAAGAATTCTCAATAACACCCTACAACCACACACTGGTTCGAATCTCTACTGTCCTGATGATGTAGGGTGTTTTTAAGAATTCTCAAAAACACCCTACAACCACACACTGGTTCGAATCTCTACTGTCCTGATGATGTAGGGTGTTTTTAAGAATTCTCAATAACACCCTACAACCACACACTGGTTCGAATCTCTACTGTCCTGATGATGTAGGGTGTTTTTAAGAATTCTCAATAACACCCTACAACCACACACTGGTTCGAATCTCTACTGTCCTGATGATGTAGGGTGTTTTTAAGAATTCTCAAAAACACCCTACAACCACACACTGGTTCGAATCTCTACTGTCCTGATGATGTAGGGTGTTTTTAAGAATTCTCAAAAACACCCTACAACCACACACTGGTTGGAATCTCTACTGTCCTGATGATGTAGGGTGTTTTTAAGAATTCTCAATAACACCCTACAACCACACACTGGTTCGAAACTCTACTGTCCTGATGATGTAGGGTGTTTTTAAGAATTCTCAATAACACCCTACAACCACACACTGGTTCGAATCTCTACTGTCCTGATGATGTAGGGTGTTTTTAAGAATTCTCAATAACACCCTACAACCACACACTGGTTCGAATCTCTACTGTCCTGATGATGTAGGGTGTTTTTAAGAATTCTCAAAAACACCCTACAACCACACACTGGTTCGAATCTCTACTGTCCTGATGATGTAGGGTGTTTTTAAGAATTCTCAATAACACCCTACAACCACACACTGGTTCGAATCTCTACTGTCCTGATGATGTAGGGTGTTTTTAAGAATTCTCAATAACACCCTACAACCACACACTGGTTCGAATCTCTACTGTCCTGATGATGTAGGGTGTTTTTAAGAATTCTCAATAACACCCTACAACCACACACTGGTTCGAATCTCTACTGTCCTGATGATGTAGGGTGTTTTTAAGAATTCTCAAAAACACCCTACAACCACACACTGGTTCGAATCTCTACTGTCCTGATGATGTAGGGTGTTTTTAAGAATTCTCAATAACACCCTACAACCACACACTGGTTCGAATCTCTACTGTCCTGATGATGTAGGGTGTTTTTAAGAATTCTCAATAACACCCTACAACCACACACTGGTTCGAATCTCTACTGTCCTGATGATGTAGGGTGTTTTTAAGAATTCTCAAAAACACCCTACAACCACACACTGGTTCGAATCTCTACTGTCCTGATGATGTAGGGTGTTTTTAAGAATTCTCAAAAACACCCTACAACCACACACTGGTTGGAATCTCTACTGTCCTGATGATGTAGGGTGTTTTTAAGAATTCTCAATAACACCCTACAACCACACACTGGTTCGAAACTCTACTGTCCTGATGATGTAGGGTGTTTTTAAGAATTCTCAATAACACCCTACAACCACACACTGGTTCGAATCTCTACTGTCCTGATGATGTAGGGTGTTTTTAAGAATTCTCAATAACACCCTACAACCACACACTGGTTCGAAACTCTACTGTCCTGATGATGTAGGGTGTTTTTAAGAATTCTCAATAACACCCTACAACCACACACTGGTTCGAATCTCTACTGTCCTGATGATGTAGGGTGTTTTTAAGAATTCTCAAAAACACCCTACAACCACACACTGGTTCGAATCTCTACTGTCCTGATGATGTAGGGTGTTTTTAAGAATTTTCAAAAACACCCTACAACCACACACTGGTTCGAATCTCTACTGTCCTGATGATGTAGGGTGTTTTTAAGAATTCTCAATAACACCCTACAACCACACACTGGTTCGAATCTCTACTGTCCTGATGATGTAGGGTGTTTTTAAGAATTCTCAAAAACACCCTACAACCACACACTGGTTCGAATCTCTACTGTCCTGATGATGTAGGGTGTTTTTAAGAATTCTCAATAACACCCTACAACCACACACTGGTTCGAAACTCTACTGTCCTGATGATGTAGGGTGTTTTTAAGAATTCTCAATAACACCCTACAACCACACACAGGTTCGAATCTCTACTGTCCTGATGATGTAGGGTGTTTTTAAGAATTCTCAATAACACCCTACAACCACACACTGGTTCGAATCTCTACTGTCCTGATGATGTAGGGTGTTTTTAAGAATTCTCAAAAACACCCTACAACCACACACTGGTTCGAATCTCTACTGTCCTGATGATGTAGGGTGATTTTAAGAATTCTCAATAACACCCTACAACCACACACTGGTTCGAATCTCTACTGTCCTGATGATGTAGGGTGTTTTTAAGAATTCTCAATAACACCCTACAACCACACACTGGTTCGAATCTCTACTGTCCTGATGATGTAGGGTGTTTTTAAGAATTCTCAATAACACCCTACAACCACACACTGGTTCGAATCTCTACTGTCCTGATGATGTAGGGTGTTTTTAAGAATTCTCAATAACACCCTACAACCACACACTGGTTCGAATCTCTACTGTCCTGATGATG